ATCTATCTATCTATCTATCTATCTATCTATCTATCTATCTATCTATCTATATATTTTTTCTATATATATATTCTACATATTTATCTATATATGAGGCAATCACTGAAATCAGGTCTTTTCTGTAATGTTTATGTAATGTTCAGAAAGACTTCTGCACCTGCTGACATGTATGAGCAAGTACCTTGCTCATAAACAGTGAACAAACAGTGAGTCTCCACCGACTTGAAGAGGGGAGTCCACCTTTCTGCAGTGGAAAACCATGGGCTCCCATTTGGAGATGCTGATCCTCATCCCGGCTGCTCCACTCTCGGCTGCAAACTGCCCCATTGCACGCCGAAGGTTCTGGTTTGATTAGGCCCAAGGACAACATCATCTGCAAACAGCAAAGATTATATCCTTAGGTTCCCAAACCAGACACCCTCGGGTCCCTGGCTGTGCCTAGAAATTCTCTCCATAAATGTAATGAACAGAAATGGTGACAAAGGGCAGCCCTGGCGGAGAGCAACATGCACGCGAAAAAGGTCTGACTTACTTCCGGCAATGCAAACCAAGCTCCTGCTGTGGTCATACATAGAGCGGACAGCCCTTAACAGAGAGCCCTGCACCCCATTCTACCGGGGCACCCCCCACAGGGCACCACGAAGGACCCCTCTGTAATTGGAAGTGTTAGCAAAGACAGTCCTACAACATCCAGAGACTTAAGGTACTCAGGATGAATCCCATCCACCCGCGGGGCCTTGCCACCTCGGTGACTTCAGCCTGACTTATAGGCAGATCCACCTCTTAGTCCCCAGCCTCTGCATCATCCTCAGAAGACATGTCAATGTGATTGAGGAGATCCTCAAAGCATCGCCTGACAACATGCCCAGTTGAGGTCAGCAGTTCCCCACCCGCACTGCAAACAGTGTTGGTGAAGCACCGCTTTCCCCTCCTAAGGCGGAGGAAAGTTTGCCAGAACACCTTTGAGGCTGACCAATAGTCCTCCTCCATGGCCTCCCCGGACTCCTCCCAGACCTGAGTTTTTGCCTATGCGACTGCACAAGCTGCAGCATGCTTGTCAGCTGTCTCCAGAGTCCCACTAGCTAACAAGGCCAGGTAGGCCTCCTTCTTCAGCTTGATGGCATCCCTGACTTCTGGGCACCACCACCGGGTTCGGGGATTACCTCTACGATAGGCACCAGAGATCTTACAGCCACAGCTACGAACAGGTGCATCTACAATGGAGGAGGAGAACATGGACCACTCCGACTCCATGTCTCCAAACTCCCTCTGGATCTGGTAGAAACTCGTCCGGAAGTGGGACTTAAAGACTGCAACAACAGAGGGGTCCACCAGAAGTTCCCAACAGACTCTTCCAACACGCTTGGTCCTGCCAGGTCTGACCAGTTTCCTCCCCTGCCAGTGGATCCAGCTCAACCCCTCTTTTCACCCGAGTGTCTGAGACACATGACCAGAGATCAGATGACACAACTACAAAGTTGATCATCGATCTCCAGCATAGGGTATCCTGGTGCCACATGCAGCTATGGACATCCTTGTGCTCAAACATGGTGCTCAATATGGACAAACTGATTAGCACAGAAGTCCATTAGCAGAACACCACTCAGGTTCAGATCGGGTAGGCTATTCCAACCGATCACCCAAGTCCAGGTCTTACTGTCGCTGCCATTGTGGGTGTTAAAGTCTCCCAGTAGAACAGTGCAGTCCCCCATTGGAGCACCATCTAGTACCCCCCCAAGCATCGATGTTGGGCCCATAGGCCAACACAACAGCCCTCTCGTTTACCGGGGTGAACTCCAACATGTTATGACTGAGATTGGGAGCAATGAGCAAGGCCACCCTAGCCCACTGCCTCTCCCCACAGGCAACGCCAGA